CCTCCTCCTCTTCTCTTTATCCTCCTCCTCCTCCCTCATCCTGCTCCTTCTCCTTCTCCTTCTTTTTCTCCTTATCGCTGCCCCTCCCCTTATAGCTCTTCCCCACCTGCTCGTTGCTCCTCCTCCTCCTCCTCCTCCTCCTCCTCCTCCTCCTCACTCCTGCTCGCCCTCTCCTTGCTCCCTGTTTCTAGCTCCTGCTGCTGCTCCTGCTGCTGCTGCTCCGCCTTCTCTTCCTGCATCCCCTGTCCCCCCTACCCCCCGAGGGGGTTCACTATGCCTGTTCGCCCCCAGGTTCAGCCGCAAGCGCAAGATCCCGGCCAAGCTGAAAGAACTGTTCGAGAAGGACAAGCATTCGCTCTTCAACCAGTATATTCTGGTCGGGGAGGACTTCGACAAACTAGAGGCGTTCTTCGAACGCGTGGAGGAGAAGAAGAACACTGAGAGGCAGCTGTGGAAGCTGGTGCCCAAGAAGGATCTCCACCTGTACTATCGAGAGGACCCGCCTGTCTGGAAGCTGAGAGAGAGAGAGAGAGAGAGGAGGAGGATGACGAGGAGAAGGAAGGAGGACGAGGAGGACGGGAAGAGGAGGAGAATGAGCCAACAAGATGAGGATGAGGGGGGAAGATACTCAGGAGGGAGGGGGGGAGGAGGAAGAGGCGGAGGAGGAGGAGGAGGAGGAGGAGAAGGCGAGGAGGAGGAGAAGAAGGAAGAGAAATAGGAGGAGGCGGATGAGACCAAACGGAAACAACATCTTATCCTCGTATTTCAGGCCTTCAGGGCTCCAGGGAGACTTCGAGGATCCAGGAAAGGGGCCCAGGACACACGGAGGCCCGGGAGGCTTCGGGATTCAGGAAAGGGCCCAGGGCTTCAGGCAGGACTGACAGAAAAAAAAAAAAAAAAAAAAAAAAAAAAAAAAAAAAAAAAAAAAAAAAAAAAAAAAAAAAAAAAAAAAAAAAAAAAAAAAAAAAAAAAAAAAACACGCGATGACGTTTGCTGAAACCCAAGTCAGCATGATCAAACACCCCTCCAAGGAGAAAATCCCGGAGGTGGTCAAGATGCGCGAGGACAAGGGGCAGTGGGAGGCGGACGACGACTTCCCTGATGATGTGGAGAGCCGCCACTACTGGGTCGTCCTCCGCCGTCCTCGTCGACCTCCTCCTCCTCCATCTCCTGCTGCTGCTCCTCACTCCTCCTCCTCCTCCTCCTCCTCCTCCTCCTCCTCCTCCATCTCCCCCTCCTCCTCCTTACTCCCCTCCCTTCTCCTACCTTTCCTCCTCCTCCTCACACCTGCTCCCTCTTCCTGCTCTCCTCCTGGTCCTCCCCCACTCGCTCTTCCTCCTTCCCTCGCCTTTTTCCTCTTTGCCTCCACCCACTGAGACCTCCAGAGGTCCCCGCAGGCAAGAAGATCATGAAGGACCATTCGAAATCCGAGAAGCACGGGCTCCGCAGCACAGCCGAGGTGTCGGACGACCCAAGCAAGATGATCGAGGGTTCGGATCTCTTAGGGAGCATGCGCCCGGGGGACAACAAGAGCTCCAACTCTTTCTGGAACATCATCGGGAAGAGGCCTGCCAAGCCAAAGAGGACCTACCAGTGTTGAAATATGCTGTAGTTCCCTCAGAGCCTAACACTATACCCCTGTATCCTATAGCAGCTTCGGCACACGCGGAGTATTGGCCGCGCAAGGGCCTTGCATCCACGCCAGATCGGGAGGTCTCAAGACATCGAACACTATACTCTGTTATCCTTGCATCGTCGGCGCTCGTGGCCTTTGCCGCCCAAGGGCCTTGCATCTGCGTCGGGCCATGTCCTTTAGACAACCACTTTGATTGACCCTGAAGCCCCAGGACAGCAACAGGGAAAGGAAAAGGAAAAGGCACGGACTCTGGTGGTGACAAGCCGTTGACTGTGATGCAGCTCGCTCGGGACGTGTCGTCGAGCGCGCTTCGTGCGATGACCGAAGCGAAGCGCACGTCGATGCAGATCGAAGGCCTCGAGTACTCGGAGACTTTGGTGCAGGCCCTGAATGACTTCTACGACAGGACGGAGCAGAGGTACAAGGCCGTTGAGGCTTGGTACCTCCTCCTCCTCCTCCTCCTCCTCCATCTATTTCTCCCCCTCCTTCTCCAAACCCTTCTCCTCCTCCTGCTCCTCCAGCGCCTTTTCCTCCTCCAACTCCTTCTCCTCCTCCTTCTCCAACTCCTTCTCCAACTCCTTCTCCAACTTATTCTCCTCCTCTTTCTCCAACTCCTCCTCCTCCTCCAACTCCAACTCCTTCCTCTCGTCCTCGTCCTCCTCCTTGTCTCGTCTTCGTCGTCATCGTCATCCTCGTCCTTCTCATCAACCTCCCCCTCATCATCCCTATGCTCCTGTTCCTTCCTCTCCCATCCTTCCCTGTCTCCTAGAGGCCAACCTGCGCTTGGGCAAGGACAAGAAGGAGGACTACCCGGAGGTCCCGCTGATCATCTTTGCTTTGCAGCCGCCGACACCTCCGTCTGGGAGGATGAGGAGGATGAGGAGGAGGATGAGGAGAAGAAGGATAAGGAGAGGGAGGAGGAGGAGGAGGAGGAGGAGGAGGAGGAGGATGCGGGAGGAGGATGCGGGAGGAGGATGCGGGAGGAGGGGGAGGGAAGGACAAGGAGGTGAAGGAGGATTGTAATGATAATTAAGAGGTCGAGGCGGAGGAAGGATGATGAGCTCAGGAGGATCTGGATGATGATTGCGGAGAGGAAGAAGCAGGAGGAGTGCGAGGAGGAGGAGGAGGAGGAAGAGGAGGAGAGGAGGAGGAGGAGGAGGAGGAGGAGGAGGAGGAGGAGGAGGAGGAGGAGGAGGAGAGGGTGGAGGAGGACGACAACGACGAGTTAGCTTTCCGACTTCGGCCTTGGGGCCTTGGGGGGGGCATCTCCGAGCCAGGATCGAAGTCAGACGGGGTGGGCACCCCCTCCCCCCCGCGCACATGCGCCGAACGCACGCGGGCCATGTCGGCACGCACTGCGGATCAGCGCTGATCTTGACTGGTGGGAGGAGAGGAAGAAAGTCGCGAGGGGCATGCAGTCGCAGGCCGCCAAGGCGGCCAAGGCCCTCGCTGAGAAGGCGGAGGAGGCGGCAAACGAGGGCAAGCAGTCGCCTGGCAACGGCAAGAAGGGGAAGCGCAAGCGTCGCAAGTGAGAGTGAACCCGCGCGCGGGCTGCGGTCCGCGGAAGCTGGCCTGCCAACCGCTCCCTCATCCTCCAAGTTACTCAAGGGATCGCACCCTCACCCTCACGCATATTAAGAAGATCCTCTGACCAGCCTCGAACTATCCCGACCCCTGAGATTGGCCAGGGCGAGACGGTGTTAATCTTGGGGATGGGCCCTGAGAGGCCCAAGAAATTCCTAAGATCGACACCGAGGCGAGCTGATGCCAATATCAGGGCTAGGAATATGTTCGAGGCTGGTGATTCTCAGAACGGCAGCCGACAGCTCGCGGACCCAAGAATTCGGGCGATGGTTCCGCCCCCCTCACTGCCCGAGACTGCATGCCGGTGCGAACGCAACGGATGAAGAGAAGGGGGGTGCACCTATCGCCCGACACTCATTTTTGCCCCATCGTATATAGGGCGGCGTGGTCCCGATGGGAAGCCGTGGCCCCAGACCCGTTTGCGCGACAGACGGGCAGCAGGAGGGTTGCGCTGCGTGTGCGGAGAAAGGACTCGCTCTTCCAAAAGATCGAACAAGGTTTCCCCAAGGGCTGTAAGCGACCCGAAGAGGAGGAGGAGGAGGAGGAGGAGGAGGAGGAGGAGGAGGAGGCGGAGGAGAAGGGCAGGAGGAGGCGGAGGAGGAGGAGGCAGCGGAGGAGGAGGAGGGGGAGGCGGAGGAGGAGGAGGAGGAGGAGGATGTGGAGGATGAGGAGGATGAGGGAGGTGGACTGAGGAGGAGGAGAGGCGGAGGAGGAGGACGAGGAGGCGGAGTGAGGAGGGGGCGGGCGGAGAAAGGAGGGGGAGGAGGAGGAGGAGGAGGAGGAGGAGGAGGAGGAGGAGGAGGAGAAGAAGGAGCGGAGGAGGAATCAAGGAGAGTGCGCGGAGGCGAAGGGAGGGGGGAGCCGGGGCGGGGAGGGGCGGTGGCGGGCGGAGGCGGGGAGGAGAGGCGGAGGACGGAGGAGGCGGAGGGGGGAAACAAACTGCCGTTAAGCCTTCGGCGAACCCCTCCAGTCAGCGGCTTGAGGGGCGTGCCGGTTTTGTTCCCACGCTTTTCGGCGGTGCCCAAGGATGACAAAACAATCAGGATTTGATGACTGTCGTGGCGTTCCTTGAAGCTCCGAGGCCCTCGGAGAGCCCTTGGGGCATAAACAGAAGATGCTCCCCTCGGGCCAGGGGCGATCGAAGAGAGGAAGGATGACGACACATGAGGCGCAGGAGAGGAGGGGGAACAGGAAGTCGACCGACAGGCGCAGAACGATAGCCATGATGTTGGCGGGAGAAGGGCGATCAAAAGGAAAGGAGGGTCGGCCAGGAGGAAGAGGAGTAGGAGAAGAATGCGGAGGAGGAGAAGGAGGAGGGAGGGAGGGGGGGAGGCAGGAAGGGAGGGAGGGAGGGATAGAGGGAGGGAGTGAGGGAGGGAGGGATGGAGGGAGGGATGAAGGAGAAGGAGGAGGAGGAGGAGGAGCAGGAGGAGGAGGAGAGAGGAGGAACAGGAAGACACTCAGGAGGTGCAGAGGAGAAGGATGAAGAAGAACAAGGAGGATGAGGAGGAAAGCGGCCCCGCGCCAGGTACGGCTCATCGTGCTGGGCCTGATGGTCCTGCTGGTTTCGTCGCGGCCCCCGCTAAGAAGCAGAGGCTTGACGATTGCTTGAGGACGAGCCCTGTCTTCGGCAACCTTGTGGATCGCATAGGCTTGCACTGTTTCGAAAATCAACTCGCAAATAGTTAGCTTGCTCTTCCCCCCTTGCTCCGAGAACCCTGGAGGTTTCCTGTCAGGGGGTTTGGTGTTTTTCGCCTCGGGGGCCGCGTTCCCTGCCCAGGCAAAGGGGCGCACTTCACGGATTTGAGGAACTTCGCCGAGTCGGTCGTGAACGAGTGCCCGGAGGAGGTCAGCGATTGCATTCGACATTTTTCCCGCCTTGGAGCAGGCGGTCAACATCCTGGCCATATCGAGCGGGACTTCCATAGGATTGCTTTTGCTTTTTTTGGTTTGGAGGGAGAAGATGAGGAGGACGCGCAGGAGGAGGAGGAGGAGGAGGAGGAGGAGGAGGAGAAGGAGGAGGAGGAGGAGGGCAGGGAAGTGGAGTTGAGGGGGAGAATCAGACAGCATAGGAGGAGAAGGAGGAGGAGGAGAAGGAGAAGGAGGAGGACAAGGCGGAGGATAAGGAGGAGGAGGAGGAGGAGACGGACGAGGATGTGTCATGGACCAACCTGATGGAACCTTGAATTCCGCGGTTGGTATCGTTGCCCCGGGCGCCCTTGCAGTGCGAAGGGAAGTAGGAGGAACGGAAGGGGAGTAGGATGAGGGGAAGGAAGAGGAGGGGGAGGGGAGAGGAAGGCTTTTCTAACTTAAAACGGCTCTCATGGTGGATCGGCCCCAAGCTGGGCTTCGACCTTGAGCCAGATGAGCTAACGCTGCCGCTGGAGACCCTCGCTTCGTACACGCTGACTCCCACTACGGCGCACGCGATGCCAATGTACAAAGTATTCCAGGCGTTGTGGCAAGCGGGGCCGCTGCAACGATCCTTGAGCTTGCTTGGGCGCGAGGGCGCCAATGGCATCAACGAGTTCTGGCGCAACGCTCAGCACTTGGACTGGGCGCGACGCCATCCGGAGCTTGCGGGGTACACCTTGGACGATCTCGGCCGCACCCTTGGGATAGTGATCCACGTTGACGGAGTGGAGGTTCCTGGACAAATATGAACGCCTGATTTGCCTGTTTTTGTTTGAGTGCCTCCCTCAGTGCCCCTGTCCTGCATGATTAGATCCCGAGGTGTTCAAGAACACAGAGTACGTCGTGTTCAGTTGGAGCACAATTCATACCGCAGGACATCCGAAAAATAAAAACGGCATCAGCATGGACGTTAAGATATCCGCGCGGACTCCCCAGGCACGTGCGCGCGCGGAGCGCAGAGCCCAACTCCGACCCAATCCGCGCGGACGTCCGAATGTGCATGCTGATGTCTTTTTTCTTTTTTCCGAGACACGCGCCCCCGCTGCGTTCGTATTGTCGCGCGCCAATCCTCGCTCTCGCCCCCGTGCATATGCAAGAGAGCGGGGAGAGGTCGCAAGGCAATGGTGCAACGCACGGGCGTCTCGCAAGGAGGCACGTGCGTGTGGGATTGCAAATTCCCGATATTGGCGCTCCCTTGCGCCTTAGTGAGCCAAGCGGCGTCTCGAGACGCCATGTTGATCGAGGTGGGCTTGGAATGGGGAGCTCCTTTGTTTGAGTGGGCTCGGCCTCATGGAGAGCGTCGAGGGCCCTCATTCTCAGGGGATGTCTCTTCCATGTCCATGTCGAGGTTGCTAAATACATCGCATGGGGCCTGGGCGTCATCGCGTCAGGGTGCCGTCCACCGTGCGATCACAATGCCAACGAGCTGCCTGGAGCTGGGACTCCTCTTGCAGAAGGGTTCCGAGGGGTGTGCGTCGGCTTCAAGGGCGACCGCAAAAGCAGGCGCCGATGCCCATTGCAAACCCCATGGAGGCCAGCATTCACTCCTTGGCACCCTTCTGAGGCGCGAGTGTCACTTTTCCGAGCGCAACTACAGCGCGACGTTCATTTGTGAACGATGCTTGGCGTGCAAGCTTACAAGCAAAGGCGAAGAGGGAGAAGAAGGGAGGGGAGAGAGGAAGGAGAAGGAGGAGGAGGAGGAGAAGGAAGGGAGGAGAGGAGGAGGAAAACTAGGAGGAGGAGGAGGGAAGGCAGGGAGGATAGGAGGTTAGAGGATGAGAAAGGGAGGGAGGGGGGAGAAAGGAGGCGAGGAGAAGGGGGGAAGGAGAATCGGCTACATTTTTAAGATGCTCTTGCAAGGCATCCCGGAGTACAATTTTGGGGACTCCACCTTGCACGCTGGCTGGCGCGTGACGCAGATGGATCACGATCAATGGCTTGCCTCGGTTTCTCGTGAGAGCCCTTTTAATGTGGTCTCTGGATTTCATCTTCAAACTTTGTGGGATGATCTGCTGCACGACTGGTACCAAGGAACAGCTGCGGACGCAGTTGCCAATGGTTTGGTCGTGCTCGTTGAAGGCGGACATATCGCTGATACATCGGGTTTTCGCCCATCCGCCAATCCCGTACGTGAGAACTCTGACACGCGTGTTATAAGGCAAACAAGACAGTATGTATGTATGTATGTATGTATGCATGTATGTATGTATGTATGTATGTATGTATATTCATGTGTATATACATATATATATATACAGAGCCAATCCGATGCGCTTGGAATCTCAGCTCTTTGCTGGATTGCGGGCGAGCACGGCAATGCCACGCGGGGAAATCATGTTTTCAAACTCGTTCGGGAAGATTTCAAGCAGTGGCGGGGGCCAACACGACGGGCCCACCCCATGCATCCCCTCCACTCCTTCTCCCAGCATGGGAGAGGGGATGAGGGGGACGCGTGGGCGGAGTCAGTCGGCATGTGTTTTCGATTTCCCAGGTGGTGCAGAAAGAACGACATCAAACCGATCCCAGTGGATCTCACCATGAGCACTTGTGGAAGGAACAAGCAAACGGAATACCCCGAACTGAGCACCAAGGTTAAGGCCGCACATGTGAAACTGCTTTGTGGGTATATGGCAGACTTAACATGGCGGTGGTCTCTCCCTGGAGAAAAACACGCGTTGCTTCGAGTTCTCTTCTGGGTTTTGGCACACTTCTTGCACGTGCTTGATTTGAACGGCACGTGGATGCCTGATCAGCAGGCCGTGGAGGCCCAGCACGCCGGCTACACATTTTTGTACGCCTTCCAGCAGGCGCCCGCACGTCAGAAAGGAGGGAGGAGGAGGAGGACGAGAAGGAGGAGGAGGAGGAGGAGGAGGAGGGGAGGAGGGGGAGGAGGAGGAAGGCTCGAGGATGATTGAAAGGAAGGCCTCGAGGAGGATAAGAGGATGAGGACGAGAAGGAGGATGAGGAGCAGCAGCATGAATGAGGGAAGGGTGTGGGATATGGACATGGGGAGCACGACGAGCAGGATGAGGAGGAACAGGAGGAGGAGGGCAAGGAGGAGGTGGGGGAGGAGGGGGAGAGGAGGAGGAAGGCTCGACGAGGATTCAAGGAGGGCTCGAGGGGAAGAGGATGAGGAGGAGAAGGATCAGGAGGAGCAGCATCAGCAGGCATGAGGGAAAGGGGGTGGGGGATAGGAATTGGGAGGACATGGAGGAGGAAGAGAAGGATGAGGAGGAGGAGGAAGAGGAGGAAGGAAGAGTTCAGTTCTGTGTTGGATCCATCAGATGAGCAACGTCGCTTTCGCAGAGGGCCAGTGTCTCTGGAAAATCAGGCCCAAGTTCCACTACTGCACGCACACTGTCGACGACATAGGCCTAACAAAATTCAATCCGCGCAAGGCTCATGTTTTCATGGACGAAACGCTCATGGGTTGTATTGCTAAGCTGGGTAGGGGTTGCCATCCAAAGCAAGCTTCCAAAAGAATTTTGGAGCGCTATCGCGTGTTCGTTGCCTCGCGCTGGATCAAGCGCCAGATGGCGAATCGTTTCACAATTTAGATCGCGAGTGCACTCCCGTGGGAGCGCTGAAAACGAGGGCGAGGATCGAGGAGAACTTAAGCGGAGGAGGAGGAGGAGAAGGAGCAGGAGGAGGAGGAAGAGGATTAGGACGAGTACTGAAAAAGAGGAGGAGGAGGAGGAGGAGGAGGTGGGAGGAGGAGAGAGGAGGAGGGGCAGCAGGAGCAAGAGCAAAGGCTACGAAGGCAAAGCATGCGAGGGTGTGCGCAAGATTCTCGGCCCGGGGAGGCTCGCCCGCGAGGTCGGAGGCCGCGACGGCCGTTGTCGTTGCCGTTGGCGTTGCCGTTGTCGTCGTCGTCGCTATCGTCGTCGCTGTTTCTGCCGTCGTCATTATAATGACGACGGCAGAAACAGCGAACGACAACACGATAAAAACGGACCCGTCGACACTACGACGCTACAACGACGTCGCCAACGACAGCGACGGCAGCGGCGCCGAAGCCGACGACGACAGCGACGACAAAAACAGCAAACAATAACACCACAACCTCAACAAAACAAAAAGTGTCACCCGACACAAGGGCGGCACCACGACAACGACAACGACGGCGACGACAACGGCAACGACGGCAACAACGATGGCGGCGGCGCCCGCAGCGGCAAAGGTGACAACGCCCTCCTCCTCCTCCTCCTCCTCCTTCTCCTCTTCCTCCTCCTCGTCCTCCTCCTCCCTTCCTCCTCTCTTCTTCCTCCTCCCCCTCGTCGTCCTCCTCCTCCTCCTCTTCTTCCTCCTCCTCGCCCTCCTCTTCCTGGCCTTTTTCGTCCTCGTTCTCCACCTCCTCCTCCTCCTTTCCTTCCTTTTCCTCTTCCCCTTCTCGTCCTCCTCCGGTCCTCTTCAGTGGCTCCTCCTCCTACCGTACTCCTCTCTTCCTCGTCCTCCTCTTTTTCTCATATAGTCCTCATGTTCTCTTCAGCTTACTCCCGCCCCTCTGCTGCTATTCCTCCTCCCTGTGTGTTCTGCTTTTCTAATTCTTTTCCCTTCTCATACACCCTCTTTTCCTGCTTTGCTTCTCTTCGTTCCTTATCCTGCGCCTCTCCTTCCCCCCTTGTGTCCGCCGAAAGGCGGTGATCGTGCTGTTCAGCTTGACAGGACATTTGTCCTTCTCCTCGTCGCCGCTTATTGTCCTCCCATTCCCCAAGCGTCAAATCCAAATGTTCCCCTTCTTCCTCGCCCTCCTTCTTGCCAATTTTGGCTCAAGGCTATTCGGCCCGAGGGCCCTTGACGGCGATGCATGCATCCGGCGCCGTTAACGTGCATCCGGAGCCGGTATGTGCGTAAAGCCATGGGATGCGCTGGCTGTCTGCCGATGTGCGCCACGCGCGCATTTGGGCTGTGTCGGCAGCGGGGGTGCCCGCATGCGTCCGCCGCACTCAGCACAGCGTGGGTGCCCGCATGCGTCCGCCGCGCTCAGCACAGCGTTTCGTGGTCCCATAGGGAGCTCCACCGAAGGCCCCAGCTGGGGTGCCCGCATGCGCCCGCCACATCCAGCACAGCGCTTCGTGGCCCCATAGGGAGCTCCACCGAAAGCCTGTGGGGGTGCCCGCATGCTCCCGCCACACCCAGCACAGCGCTTCGTGGCCCCATAGGGAGCTCCACCGAAGGCCCCAGTGGGGGGGCCGCATGCGTCCGCCACACCCAGCACGGCGTTTTGTGGCCCCATAGGGAGCTTCACCGAACGCCCCAGCGGGGGTGCCCGCATGCGCCCGCCACACCCAGCACGGCGCTCCGTGGCCCCATGGGGAGCTCCACCGAAGGCCCCAGTGGAGGTGTCCGCATGCGTCCGCCACACCCAGCATAGCGTTTCGTGGCCCCAGAGGAAGCCCCACCGAAGGCCTCGGTGGGGGTGCCCGAATGCGTCCGCCACACCCAGCACAGCGCTTCGTGGCCCCATAGGGAGCTCCACCGAACGCCCCAGCGGGGGTGCCCGCATGCGTCCGCGACACCCAGCACGGCGCTCCGTGGCCCCATGGGGGCTCCACCGAAGGCCCCAGTGGGGGTGCCCGCACGCGTCCGCCACACCCATTACGGCGCGCCCCTTCACGCGTGTCGTGTCCCACCGATAACGGCTCCCACAACGCGTTACTCACAACTGAATATGGTTGGGCCCTTCGCCTGGATAATGTTGTTTGGTTGTGCCCCCGTAGCTGCG